AGAGCGGTCTAATTAGAACTCCAGATGGTTGGGTAGGGTTTTCCGCGAATACGTACATTGTTGGACCCGCCCTTATGTTGACCCAGCGTGTAGGGATAGGCCCTCCTCCGAGCTGCAAAGCCTTGGCCACCTGGATTGATACTAGCGCCTAATGAAGGATACCTGCGTCCCTGGCTGCGTGATGTTACATGTCTGATTCGTCGCTCTGAACGCGTGTAGTTAGTTTCAACAGCCAGAGCGTTAGAAAATCCACTCGGGACATGCTAAACAACGAACAGTGTTTCTAGACGATCACCCTCGCACCTAGATACAGCAGCCGGTTTATCGGATGCTAGCGCTTTCGAGGTCGCTCGCCTCAGTGTACCATGCCACAGTGACAGCTCTGAAGCCACCATGGCGACATGTGCCGGGGACCGTTCTTGCCTTGTCGCAACAGCCGTCCGCAAGGGCAGACCGTACAGACAACGTCGGAGCGGCGCCTCAACCCACTCGGATCCAGCGCGTGGACTCAGGCAAGGTGCTGGCGCTCGTCGACAGCGATCGTTGATTCAACTTAGGATTAATTTCTTCGCACCAGGCTCAAGTGTCGTCTTTGCTTTGCACGGTAGTTCTCTAAGTCATGTTTCAAGTCTTGCATGTTTCCTGGCCGTGATGTCATGGCCCGTGACTTTCCACTCGTTGACCCTGTGTGCTATCAGGCTCTGCTGGTTGAGTACGCCAACGGCCAGAGGTTTTCTCTGCCAGCTGAGCTACTCCGAGTGAACAGCCCCTCACCCAAAGGGGGAACCCGGCATGCTGGTTCTGCATCCAAGGTTTCACACAACCAATGACTTTCTTAGAGCACTGCACCTTTTTGGCCCACCCTCAACTCCCATCCTCCCTTCACCCACTCTCTCGCCTCGTCGCCGTCGTTGTCGTCGCCTCTCTCTTTCTCTCTCTCTCTCTCTCTCTCTCTCTCTCTCTCTCTCTCTCTCTCTCTCTCTCTCTCTCTCTCTCTCTCTCTCTTTCGTTCTCTAACATGCTCACGTTTTCACTCTCTGCCTCCTCTTCCTTCCCTCCTTGCTTTTTCATTTATTACTAAATTCACCTTCTCCTTCCCCTTATCCTATTGCCTGCCACGGGTCTCCGTCCAATTCCCCTGCCCCGCCCCCCTTGCGGATTTTTTCTCTTTGCCTTACCTACATTAGCAAGCGTTTGCCAGACAATCTAATGTACGGTACCAGTTCCTCACTGTTTGGCAGATTCTATCTGGTCGCCGGTATGTCCACGTTATCAAAGTGGAACCTGTGGGAAACTATGCCATCAGGTTAGTGCCAGAGCTGGCAGTTGTCTATTTTTCTGTAAGCTATGGGAATGTTTGTTTCCTAATTTCGTGCTGCCTGGTCCATTTCATTCCCTTAGGGTATTGTTTGATGATATGCACACGAGCGGCATATACACGTGGCAAATGCTTCATTCTCTTGGCATCAATAAGTATTCCCTTGCCAAAGCATACATACGGGAATTGCGTCTAAAAGGTCTTAGCCGGGATCCTAGGAGAATGTAACATAATATCTGATCTGATGTAATCTTTATGGTGAAGCCTAGTCACTTGCTGAATGTGTTTTCAGCTTGCTGAGCGTGTCTGTAACAAAATTGGAAGCTGAACATTGTCTCTGGGACATCGTTGAATCGCTGGCGACAAAATGAGGCTGGTTTGTGTGTCCACGACTCGCTGGCGGATCAGACCTGGGCATCCATTTCCACTCGTTACAGAGATCTTCAACACGAAGCTTGTCCACGTGGCATCCAGGTGGATCATTTCGTGCGAGGAGTGAACGATCACCACCAGTTTCGACCCTCTACACCCCTCCGTAATCTCCTGCGACGAAAGTCAGTGGCGCCTGGCTGCGGTCCAGATTCTTCGTCCCATCACAATTCCTTCCCACGACCATCTCCAATTTCAGAAGCACTTCTTGATCAGAGGCATCTGTTGGACCTTGAGAATTTCGTGAAGGCCTTTGGTCCAAACCGTAGTTCAGCATTGAGCAGTCAGCTTTCCAGTGAGTGAGTTGCTCACTCATCAGGGAAAATGGGTTCCCTGGCAGCAGCCAATGCTACGCTTGTAGCCACAGGCCAAGTAACCCTAACTGCTCTGCATAGCGGCGCGAATGAAAAGGTGCTTTCAAAATCCACCTATGGTGGCTATCTCAGCCTCGCTGACTCAGTGAAGGGTCAGCGAGCACTTGCTGTGAGATCTGCCCGACCAGTAGTTGCCTGCCGTGCGAGATTCGGAGGTAGGTCTCAACGAGCACGCGAGGCCCTCGTAGTTACGTCCTCAAACACTCACAACCATTTTCTGTACGCTTTCAGGCCTCTTCTCTCCGAAGAAAAAGGATGATGAGGAGGAGGAACCTGCAGCGGCTGAACCTGCAGCGTCGGAAGGAACGTTGAAGCTCCCATGGAGTTTCCGGGGAGGAGACAAGGGTACTCAGAAAGTAACAGAGGAGATTGAGGAGGTCGAAGAGAAGGGGACCCAGAAATTCGTGTTTTCACCCTTCAATTTATTCGGTGCTGCCAAGTCTGACAACAATTCCCGTGACGACAATGTTGTGTTTATTGCCGGGGCAACTGGCAGAGTTGGCTCTCGTGTGGTCAGGTATACACTACACTCACACTCAGGTTGCAATTAGCTTTGATGCAACCAGATTGGGACCTCACAATATCCACTTTCTAATACAGGGAGGCTATCAAGGCTGGATTCAAGGTCCGAGCCGGAGTGCGTAGCCTTACTAAGGCAGACGAGGTCCTCACTGATGTAAGTTGCAGTTTTGTTAAGTCGTTCGCATTGCCAATTATCGCTTACCGTAGTTCTTACCTTCCAGTCGTACCTCGGTCTTGGTGTTTGCAGCTTCCTTCACCGCCTAAGAAGGGACTTTTCGATGTAAGTGACAATCTTATGTGCACATCCCTTGGCCACTTGCGGAGCAATTCTAACGGACTGCTTTTTTTTGTTGCAGCTGTTTTTTGGGAAAGAGGCCGATGTGGAGCTTGTGGAGTTCGACATTTTTGACCCGGAGTCAGTTGAGGAAGCTATTGGCAACGCTGGAAAGGTTGTGTGCGCCATTGGTGCATCCGAGAATCTGCTCAATGTCTCCGGGCCGTACAGCGTGGATAAGGTTGCAACGGAGAATCTGATAAACGCATGTAAGTCGTTGTATTTCCGTTATTTATCGGTCCTGGGCTGGCTGTGTATTACGTACCTTGACGCAAATTTTTGTCATTTCAGCTGCCGAGCTTGGAGTGAACCAATTTATCATGATTTCGTCTATCGGCACTGGGAAGTTCGGATTTCCTGCGTCGCTACTGAAGTAAGTACCGTCTTCTGTCTTCCTCTTTTCTTCGAAAAATGACTGATTACTCACACAAGTTATCGTTCTCCCCTCAGCTTGTTCTGGGGCGTCCTCTTCTGGAAGGCGCAGGCTGAGAAGACCTTGATAGCGAGCGGCGTTCCGTATTTGGTACGTCACTGTAGCTAAGCCATGTTACGAAGCTCGCGAGGTTTTGTGCTTGCAATGCTGATTTTGGTGGCAACTGGTATTTGACAGATCATTCGTCCTGGTGGAATGGAGAGGCCGACTGATTCCTTCAAGGAAACACATAACCTGAAGCTGGAGGAGGGTGGCACTTTAACGGGCGGACAAGTGTCCACCTTGCAGGTATGCAAAGTATTTGGACTTACAACCCGTTAACGCTTTCGTAGTTATGTGCAATGTAGTTAACTCGTGGGCACGTTGATGCAGATTGCCGAGCTGGTTGCGGTGGCGTTGAACAAGCCAAATCTTGCAGCCAACAAGGTTGTGGAAGCGGTTGCTGAGACGACAGCCCCCGAAGAATCTATTGAGAGCCTCTTGGCGGCCATTCCTTCAGATGATGTGGAGGAGGATGATGACGAATACGACGAAGTGGTAAGCTTATTGTTGGGATTATTGATTTTGCAATACATCTGCTGGAGTTTATTTTCTCGTCTCACATTTGTCTGTCATTTGCTGGCAGGAGGAAGTTGTTGTAGTGGACACAAGGAAGCAGAAACAGAAGGAGGCTGCGGTTTCAGAACGGGAAAGGCAGAAGCAGGCAGGGGCGACAGAAGCAGCTGAGCGTAAGGCTGCCGAGGCAAGGGCAAAGTTGGCCGAGCAGCTTGAACTTGCTCGTCAGCAAAAAGAGGAGGCTCTTGCTGAGGCCCAGTCAGTCGCTGCTGAGCAGGCTGCTCTCGAGCAGAAGCGCCAAGAGATCGAATCACGAGCAGCTGCAGCTTCTCAAGCTGCTAGAGAGGCTAAGGTTGTGGAGGAGGCCGTTCTTGCTGCAGCCGCGGAAGGTCGGATGTAAGTACTTCTGTTGACTGATGTTGACTTCTTTTTGCGACCGAATGGTTAAAGCCATGGATATATGGGCATTGGTTGAAGTTCGCCTTCTTGCCATTGTGTACTTGTGCAGCTTGAGCCAGCGTGAGAAGGACCGCCTCATCCGTGAATTGCGTGAGAAGGAGGCTGCTGCAGCAGCTGCCGCTGAACTGGCGAAGGCAAGAGCAGAAGCTGAAGCTCGAGCTAAGGTAGAGGCAGAAGCCAAGGCTAAGGCGGATGCAGAGGCACTGGCTAAGGCCAGGGAGCAGGCTGCTGCAAAGGCGAAGGCAGAGGCTGAAGCCAAAGCGAAGGCAGAGGCTGAAGCCAAAGCGAAGGCCAAGGCTGAAGCTGAAGCCAAGGCAAAGGTTGAGGCCGCGGCTAAGGCAAAGGCTGAGGCTAAGGCCAAGGCTGAGGCTAAGGCCAAGGCTGATGCCGAGGCGAAATCGAAGGCTGAGGCCGAGGCTAAGGCGAAGGCGGAGGCGGAGGCCAAGGCCAAGGCTGAGGCAGAGGCGAAAGCGAAGGCTGAGGCGGAGGCGAAAGCGAAGGCGGAGGCGGAGGCCAAAGCGAAGGCGGAGGCGGAGGCGAAGGCGAAGGCGGAGGCGGAGGCGAAGGCGAAGGCGGAGTCGGAGGCGAAGGCGAAGGCGGAGGCAGAAGCGAAGGCGAAGGCGGAGGCAGAAGCGAAGGCAGAGGCAGAGGCGAAGGCGAAGGCGGAGGCAGAGGCGAAGGCGGAGGCAGAGGCGAAGGCAGAGGCAGAGGCTAAAGCAAAGGCTGAGGCGGAAGCCAAGGCAAAGGTCGCAGCAAGTGGAGGTGGATTTCGTTGGCCGTGGCAGGTGGAGCAGCCGAAGTCATCTACCGACCTCCCACCAAGCCCGACTCCGCTTTCACCCTACACCATGTGAGTTCTACATTTCGAGTGATAAGATAACAATGGCTAGTATCAAATGAACAAAACAAAAGCATCAATGTCGCGGATTCTGGACCATATTGTACCTCAAATTCAAACAAAAACATACAATAATGCCAATGTCATGTTTCAGGTACCCGGACCTGAAACCCCCAACTTCTCCAACTCCATCTCCTCCTAAGCCTAGCCCTGAAGCAATTGCTGCCAAGGCCAAGGCAGAGGCTGAGGCTAAAGCAAAGGCAGAAGCTGAGGCTAAAGCAAAGGCAGAAGCTGAGGCTAAAGCAAAGGCAGAAGCTGATGCCAAGGCCAAGGCTGCAGCAGAGGCTAAGGCCAAGGCCGAGGCTGAGGCTAAAGCAAAGGCTGAAGCTGAAGCCAAGGCCAAGGCTGAGGCAGAAGCCAAGGCAAAGGCTGACGCAGCTGCTAAGGCGAAGGCTGAAGCAGAGGCGAAGGCCAAGAGCAGTGGAGGGGGGTTACCATTTCGCTGGCCGTGGCAAGTTGCTGAGGTGAAGAGTTCCACCGATCTGCCTCCTAGTCCAACGCCACTCTCTCCTTACACAATGTAAGTATTTGGATTCTGTCAGCTACGATAAGGGAGTGATTTTCTGGAGCAATTATCTTTGTTACTCATGCTCTTTGTCCTCTGTTTGATTTTCAGGTACCCTGATTTGAAACCCCCAACGTCTCCCACTCCATCTCCTCCCAAGCCTGATCCTCAAGCCAAGGCTGCTGCTGAGGCTAAGGCCAAGGCTGAGGCCGAAGCTAAGGCCAAGGCTGAGGCCGAGGCCAAGGCCAAGGCTGACGCAGAGGCCAAGGCTGAGGCAGAGGCCAAGGCCAAGGCTGAGGCAGAGGCTAAGGCTAAGGGTGAGGCAGAAGCGAAGGCCAAGGCTGAGGCAGAAGCCAAGGCCAAGGCTGAAGCAGCTGCCAAGGAGAAGGAGGCTGCTCCAGCGGCACAGGCCAGTGCTGGCGGCCTCAACTTCCGTTGGCCATGGCAGGTTGCAGAGGAGGAAAAGAAGTCCTCCACCGACCTTCCACCCAGCCCGACCCCTCTGTCTCCCTACACTCAGTAAGGATTGGGTCATTGTGCCAATGTGTGCCTGTTTACTATTATCCCGAATGCGTGTTCCTAAATTGTGTTATGATTTTCTTTTCAATTCTCAGGTATGAGGACCTGAAGCCTCCGACCTCTCCGACTCCATCCCCTCCAACTCCTGTTGCCGCCAAGGTAACATCAGAGCCACCCCCTGCTCCTGCGGCACCTGCACCGCCAAAGGCAGAACCTGTCTCAGCACCTGCAAAGTCTGAGGTGGCAGCAACAGCTGTGGCTCCTGCTGCTGATGCTCCTGCTGATTCGAAGAGAGTGTGGGTTAAAACTTCAGAAGGTGAGGCCAAGGGCCTTGAGCTGAAGTGGCCATGGGAGGTTGCCGGTGATTCCGGAAATGGCAGCAGCAGCAGCAAATCCGACCTGCCATATGCAAACCGGCCCCTCAGCCCTTACACCATGTTCCCTGATCTGCGGCCACCTTCATCTCCGATTCCTCTGAGATCTACGGATACGGAGAGCTAAGCAGCTGCTTGCATGCATGAACATCAAGTGTGATTCTGTCTCTGCATTACAGGGTTTATCAAGGTTTTGGGCTAGTGGATTGCTTATTTTTGGGGTGTTGTATCCACCAAGCTCTGCAACGCTCGTTACTGGATTTTATGGGTTGTGTGCACACAAAGGATGCATGCCCACTGGGTAGTACGGTATCAGGTAAACTTCTGTTACGATTACAGTATGCAATCAAGCTTGTTATAACTACAGTATTCACAGATGCATAGCACCAGATTTCACTTCACTGCTAACGAACTATCTAGCATAACACCATAAATCACCAACAGATTTTGTTCTCCAAATTGTAGTAATGCCAAACTGTGATAAGAATTATCTAGAGAGGGATCCTGTAATATTGTGACAAAATCAAAATTGTAAGGATTACTGAAAGAACCGATGAGCAATCGCCATTTTGTTCTTCTCAGTACTCATTGAAAAGTGTCCTGACTATGTACATACACTAATGCATATTCAAACTCTTCCTGTACCAGTTACTCCTCCTGGGATTGCGCGGTACGCTCCTGTACACCACCTGCTGCAATTACACACAGAGCCATGATCTTATGAAACTGAGAATGGACGACACACACCCGATGAGAATGACAGAGCACGAACAGCACAACAAACACAATGTCACATCCGCGTGCGATTACACCCTGCCAGCACACCCCGCACAAGAGCATAGTGCACATGAGATCACACCACCGCACAAGATCACAACCATCACACCCCTTACCCCCATACCACATGCCCACCACATCATCATACCAGCAGCACCTGTCCCGTCAACAATCACTCGTCTTATAAGCAGCCCTCATCCCGCCCTCATCCCCAGCCCCTCCTACACCTGTGCACATACCTGAGCCTCGGGCAGCATTGGCCGGCACCTCGGTACTGGTGGGGGCGAATCCAGTGAGGGAGCCCAGCACCTGGAAGGCAACGGGGATAGCGGGAATGGGGGATGGGATGGGAGCACACGCTGAGTAACCCCGAACTGAATGAACTGGTGGAGGCAAAAGTTCTTAGTCACCTTAACAGTATCTGCAATTGCTCCAGTGGTGCTGGTCCATGCTGACGTGGCAACATCCTGCGTGCTCCAGTGGTGCTGGTCCATGCTGACGTGGCAACATCCTGCGCCCTCTCCACAACCCCGCCACCCACCACAACCCCACCCCCACCTTCTGCCCCCCCCACCTCCAACCCACCTCCCTCCTTCCCACCTTCCTTCCGTTCCTCCCCACTGCTCTCCCCACCTTGACCAGACACTGCCAGCCTCCTCATTCCATGTTCCACCCCTCCCACCTCAGGCTGCCCCTCAGGCGTTCCAGAAACCCCTGCCTGCCCACCCTTCGCCTTCTCCAATACCTTCCCTGCCTTCCCACCCTGCGCGCCTGCCATTGACTCCTCCCCCTCCCCACCGCGCCCTCTCATCCCCCCAATGTCCGAAACCGTCAGCCTCTGCAGCCCCTCTTCCACTCCGCGCATCCCCTTTCCCCCCGCCCCTTCCCCTTCTGCCCCTTTCCCACCCGCCGTTTCCCCCCTGCTCTGCTGCGCCCCCCCCTCCCCCAGCGACATTTTCCCCACCCCCTCTTCCAGCCGCCTCACCTCCTCACCCCCCCTCTCCGCCTTCCACCCAGCAGTCTCCTGCGCCTCAATCCCCCCTTCCGCGCCCCCACCACCAGTGCGCCCGCCCGCAACTTCCCCCTTATCCACTCCGCGCATGACAGCAAATCCCGCCCCTGGCCCTTCCCCTGGCCCCTCTTCTTCCTTTGCCCCAACTCCCTCTTTCGCCTCCACCCCTGTCCCCTCTTTCTGCTCCACCCCTGCCCCTACTTTCCCCTTCTCCCCTGCGCGCTTTTTCTCCCCAGCCAGAGCTTTTTCCTCCTGCTCCGTTGTTGCTTCCCCCTTTGGCACCTCTCCAGCCTTCTCCAAAGCTTCCTCCTCAGACCCGGAAGCACGCTCATGCGCTTTCCCCCCTCCTGCCTTGGTCTCACGTGCAGCAGCTCCTTCCTCCTCCGCCAGTCCCTGCACGCCATGTGTCTCCAGCTCCACCGGCTCCCCCTTGTCGCCTCCTTTGACCTTCCCGCCCTTACCAAACACTCTGAACTCCTCCAAAGATTCCGATTCCTCCCTGGCAGGAGCAGCGAGACCAGAATACCCACCTCCACTGGGTAAACCACCCTCAGATACACCGCCCTCAGATAAGCCTGCCTCAGACGAGTCGCGGCCGGCAGATTCAGCGGACTTGGCGGGCATGGCGATCTTTCCGGGTTGCTTCTCCAGAAAAGGCGCGATGCTTTCGCCTTCCACCACCACTCGGCCGGGCCGCTCTGACGTGGCATGCGTAGCTGGGAGCTCGTGATGCGCCTCGTGCCGCGTGTGCTGCTGCTGCTGCTGCTGCTGCTGCTGCTGCTGCTGCTGCTGCTGCTGTGGCTGTTGCTTCTCCTGCATGATTGCGCACTCTTGGTAGGCTCGCCGATAACGTGTACGAAGGTAGCAAGGGGAAGATCGTGAGAGCACAAATGTTTTCACACTATCGCATCAATCGATGGAGATTATTTTCTTGCGGGTGGGAAACCGACGAAATGAGATGCGGGAGATTTGCGGATTTACGTGCGACGGTGAGAAAGACGCGACGAGAGGGAATGAAATCCTGAACCAGAGTCGCGACCCGGAGGAGGCGGGTGCCGACACGCGATGCGATAGGTTTCGTCCTGGATCAGAAATCGCGGCGCCATCCGTGGCGCACTCGGTGCTTCTTTCTCGAGGCGCCATGGTGTGGAATGAAAGGTCGAGCTAGTAGCTGACAAGTGTCGATGTCCTAGAACGTGACCAGCAACGCTTGATCCAAAAAGTGCTTCGTTAATAGCTTTTTCAGGATAACTCTGTGAAGTAACTATTTGCACAAGCATCCTTCCATTCCTTAGCATCAGCCTTTCGAATTTTGCAACCATTCCGTTTGTCCTACATTACCTGATCCATGCTTGCACGAAATGCACGAGAGGTCCTGTTCTTTGAACGAGTCACGGGGATTTGAACACCCTGCGAAACGTGCAATCGCGCCCCTGCAGTACGGGCTTTGTTACGGACTTCGGGTCAGCAAACTGACTGCCAGCGGGAAGCCCAAACGACACGAGGGGCCCACCTTGGGACGCATTGACACCAACACAGCACCCCTGACAGGCATCGGCCCTCGGGATTGTCGCCCTGCTCCCCCTCCCCCACCTCATGCGTGCATCCTCCTATTTTACAACATTTCCACTCCACAGTACTTTGTGCGAGAGAAGCCACCCGAGGATCCTAGATAGTACCGTGGGGGTCCATCAGGTATTTTTCGTACCACGAGTGCGCTACGCTGCCTCTTGAGTCGACTCTGGTGTGCTTCGATAATTTAGGTTTTTTTTTTCTCCCTTTTTCGCCTTGGTGACTCCTGCGATGGCGGCGTGGGGAGCGCTAGCAACCCGAGGAGCGGCCGTCGCCGCGAATGGCGCTCTCGTCACGTGCGACGCTCGGCGACAAGCAGTCGCTGGCCTCGTCACCCGTCGCACGCAGTCGCCAGGCTTGTCGCTTCGTCGCCAACCTCACTGCTCAAATTGTCCCAAATTCCCGAATTCTTCGCACTCCTCGCGAGAATCGAGTACGCAATTGCGGAATCAGCTCGTTCCCGGAATTCCGAAGCGAGTTCGACGAAGGGGCGCCGGTATTGACGGCGGGGATTGCGGCAGACATGGCCAGCGAGGGCTAGTGGGGGTCGCGCAGGCAAGTGTCGACTTCGTGGAGTTCACCGCGTCGCTCGACACCAACATTCCGCACCGAGAACGACCAGAGGTAGGCTTGTGACTTTCGAAACGTTTCAACGTTCATCTCACTCGGCAAGTAACTCTTGAGGCCCCCCAAAAGGCGATGGGGGACTGCGTGTAATTCTATTCACCACGTCGCTCGACACCAACATTCCGCTCCGAGAACGACCAGAGGTAAGGTCCTGGATCTCGAGGTAAGCTGTTGAGGCGCCATAAAACGGGCTTGGGGACTTGGTGGAATTCACAGCGTCGCTTGGCACCAACATTCCGCCGCGGTAACGTCCTGAGGTAGCCCTCTCCGCACCATCTGCCGCTGCGCTTTCGCCGTCAGGGCTTTCCAGTCCCACCCATTCTTACGCTCTCGTGTCCACAAACTGCTGTTTGGAGCAGATTTCATGTACCTACGCCACATGTGACTTTTGAGTCGACTCAAGAGTCAAATTTCATGTACCTACGCCACATGTGACTTTTGAGTCGACTCAAGAGTCAAATTTCATGTACCTACGCCACATGTCACAGCGGACTGCGCGCACTCATCTTTTGAGCAATTTTTTAGAATTCTAAAGAACCAGTCAGATTTTCCTTCCTGCCCTTTCTCTCTCGCTGCACCCGCCACGTCAGCAGGCGCCCCTCCAAAAGTACCTGGAGAGTCCGAACCAGGACTTGAGCCGCCTTCCTGAGTTGACTAAAAAATCCCCTTAATCTTCCCGCTCCTGCCCCTCCCTCTTGCTCTACCCGTCACCAGGCGCCCTTCCACGAGTACTTGGAGAACCCCAACAGAGTCTTTCATGGCACCTTGAGTCACACTCAAACAAGCCATCGTCTTCACCCTCCTGCCCTTTCTCTCCATGTACCCATCACCAGGCGCCCTTTCACGAGTACTTGGAGAATCCTAACAGAGTCTTTGACGCTTTCTTCCCGGACAAGCAGCGCTCTGAAAAGCTCTCCGAGGTGAGGGAGTTGACAGCAGTGTTGGGTGCCACGCTCTGCTATGCTGCCTTTTCACCTCTTCTTCCCATGTGACGATTGATAGGAGTGGTGTGATGCATGCTGGTGGTTTGAGGAGGCAAGCAGGAGACGGGTCGAATCAAGACAAGTGTTGGTCAACATCCGTTTTTGAAAGCCAAAGAGCATCCAATCACAACCACTGTGTACGTACGGGAACATGCGCATTCAGCTGGGCATTCTTGATCTCTATTGTGCAGGACGACTGGCGGATCCACATGCTGCCAATCACGTTCTTCCTCGTCACAGCGCACCCAATAGTGGACGCACCCACCCAATCGAGAGCAAATCTTCCTCGACCGCCGCCCCTCCCCTCTGCTTTTCGAGGCGCGTCAGAGATCACTTTTGCATCCCTATGTTGATCACATGTACTGCTGTGCTGCCCATCCTGCCATCATCCATTCCCCCATCACGGATACAGGACCTGTGGCGCATCCACATGCTGCCAATCACGTTGATCCTCGTCACGGCGCGCCCAATAGTGGACATGCGAATTTTCCTCGACCAACCCTCTCCAGTGCTCGACCGAGTCCGAGAAGCTTCCTCCGTGAAGCATGTCATGCGCCTGCAAGCGGTGAGACGCCCTTTCATCCCTTGTGATCCTTGTCACAGCGTGCCCAATAGTGGACACGCGCATCTTCCTCGCGACACGCTTTATGCGTGAAGTGCCACTAGGAGCAGAGCAGTGAGGCGCAAGCAGAGGTGATGTCGTTGAAAATGGTAATCGCTGCATGCTCTGGTGTGGCACAAAGGCAAGTCATCTCGTGCTCTTCCATTGCATGCAGGGCCACATCAGCAACTTCATTGCACAGTTGCCCCTCATTGCATTGCCCTCGTCAATGTCTCCTCCAATATAACGCATGATCTGGGAGGTGCCTAAAAAATAAATCGGTTTCCTCCACACACTTGCTCCGCTTGTCACACACGCCCTTCCTTGCCTATCCATGCTCCCTCTTCCCGTATGAGACTAACTGGGAGCTGAAAGGAGTGGACTACGATCCTGCCAACTTCTCTCTGGACGTGCACAGGTGGATCTTGAGTCGACTAAACCGTCTCTCCTTCCCTTTCCCGGTGCTCTGTCCCATAACAACAGACCAACTGGGAGCTCAAGGGAGTGGACTACGACCCGGCCAACTTCTCCCTCGACGTGCGCGGATCCCTCTTTGCCCAGTCCGCCGCCCGGCCGAACCAGCCCACCGTTGTCACCAGCTATGCCAGCAGCAGCAGGCAGGCACAGGGGAACGGCTCTAGCTTCAGCTTCAGTAGCAGCAGCAGCAGTAGCAGCAGTAGCAGCAGCAGTGGGAATGGCAGCGCCACCATGACTGCTTACAGTAGCTCCAGCAGATCTGGCAGTAGTAGCAGCAGCAGTAGTAGCATGAGCTATGGTGGCCGGCAGAGTGCCGCCCGGAGTATGCTGCGGGGACAGATGGCGGTGACGGTGGGCATGCAGGTGCCGCCCAACCTCTTCCTTGTGCCCCGCCAGTCCATTGAAGCTGTTGGTAGCGCGGTGAGTTGGCAGGCAGTGTGGTGAGTTGGCAGCATGTTGTGTGACAATGTACTGGTTTGGCAGAACGGTGACGGTGGGCATGCAGGTGCCACCCAACCTCTTCCTCGTGCCACGGCAGTCCGTTGAAGCTGTTGGCAGCGCGGTGAGCTGGCAGCAATGAGTTGGCAGCAATGAGTTGGCAGGCAGTGTGGTGAGTTAGCAGCATGTTGTGTGACAATGTATCGGTTTGGCAGAACGGTGACGGTGGGCATGCAGGTGCCACCCTACCTCGTCCTCGTGCCCAGCCAGTCCATAGAGAATGTTGGTAGCGCAGTGAGTCGGCAGCGGTGAACTAGCATGGCTAGCTGGCAGCACTGTGAGTTGGCAATGCAGTGAATCTGCATCGCAGTGCCGCCCAACCTCTTCCTTGTGTGTCTTCAGTCCATCGAGAAAGCAGCACACTGAGTTGGCGGCGGGCTGGGTTGGCAGCTTGGTGTGCTTTCTAGTCATTTTGGATCTCTGAGTTGACCTGTGGTCTCTGACCTGAGTTGACCTGTGGTCTCTGACCTGAGTTGACCTGAGTTGACCTGAGTCTGGCGAGATCTCTGAACTGTGGTCGTTGGCCTTGCCTCCACCCCTCTACTCACTTCCACGTGTTGCCGCAGCTGCTAGCAGCAATGAAGAACAGGGTGAACAACCGAGTTCGCAATGAAGAACAGGGTGAACAACCGAGTTCGCAATGAAGAACAGGGTGAACAACTGAGTTCGCAATGAAGAACAGGGTGAACAACCGAGTTCGCAATGAAGAACAGGGTGAACAACCGAGTTCGCAATGAAGAACAGGGTGAACAACCGAGTTCGCAATGAAGAACAGGGTGAACAACCGAGTTCGCAATGAAGAACAGGGTGAACAACCGAGTTCGCAATGAAGAACAGGGTGAACAACCGAGCTTGCAATGAAGAACAGGGTGAACAACCGAGCTCGCAATGAAGAACAGGGTGAACAACCGAGTTCGCAATGAAGAACAGGGTGAACAACCGAGTTCGCAATGAAAAACAGGGTGAACAACCGAGTTCGCAATGAAGAACAGGGTGAACAACCGAGTTCGCAATGAAGAATAGGGTGAACAACCAAGTTCGCAGCAACTATACCAGTGCTGGGTATAGTTCTCATCGCCCTTCCCTCCTCCCATTCTGTTTGCATCAGGTGTTTCAGCAGCTGCTAGCATCAATGAAAGACTGGGGGAACAACTGAGTTGTCAACAACTATACCTAGTGCACTCGTCGCCCTTCCCTCGCCCCACTCTGTTTGGTTCCAGGTGTTGCAGCAGCTGCTAGCGTGAATGCAAAAACAGAGTTAACAACCGAGTTCTCAACAACTGTACCAACCGCACGCGTCGTCCTTCTCTTCCCTCCTCCCATTGTGTTTCCTTCCAGGTGTTGCAGCAGCTGCTAGCGTCAATGAAAGACAGAATGATCAACCGAGTTCTCAGCAACCATACCAAGTGCACTCATCGGCCTTCCCTTCCCTCCTCCCGTTGTGTTTGCACCAGGTGTTGCAGCAGCTGCTAGCATCAAGGAAAGACCGGGTGAGCAACCGCTTTCTCAACAATTTTACCAACAGCACGCGTTGTCCTTCCCCTCCTTCCTCCCATTGTGTTTGCATCAGGTGTTGCAGCAGCTGCTAGCATCAATGGACAGAGTGAACAACCGAGTTCTCAGTGACTATCCCGAGTTCTCTGCAATTGTACCAACCACACTCGTCGCCCTTCCCTTCCTTCCATCGTGTTTGCTTTCAGGTGTTGCAGCAGCTGCTGGCATCAATGAAGGACAGAGTGAACAACCGAGTTCTCAGCGACTATGCCAGGTTCACAGCTGAGCGCGCCCGCTCTGCTGCCACTTCAAGGCGCCTCCCCAACTCCAACGCCTAACGTGTGGGCAGCTTGTCAGTGCATAGCGTACCGGTACCAGCATTTGAGACGTCTCAAAAGTACTCTTTCTAACGTGTGGGCAGCTTGTCAGTGCATAGCGCACCGGTACCGGTACCAACATGAGCTTGCCTCATCCTAAACCCTCACGGGTAGCATATCACGATTCACACCACCAACACCAGTTGTCAAGCACACTTCCTGCCCTGCCGCACCACCTCAACCTGACCTCCCAACTCCAAGCACATCAGTGTGCAGTGCAGTGCATGCCACACTGATCTGCCTGTACAAATGACCGAGGAGGCGCACAATAAGAGAGACATATGTAGCTTTAGGCCTCGAAACCCAGGAGATTTTTCGTACAGTACATCTTGCTTCAGAGCGAGATTCGACACTATCATGACTCATCAGGGCTGAACCTACAGCCTTATCCTGAGTTTTCAGTACGCAAAATAACCGTTATACTGAAATTACAGGACAATTATTCCTGTTATGCTGTTTTTCCAGGACTAGCACACGACAGCTATCCTGAATTCAGGAGAATCAGGATAAATTATCCTGATAACTGAGGCCCATGAACCAAGAAAGTTAGTAGTATGATATGGTACCAATCAGCAGGCAATAAGGCTGACATCAAGGCTAGAAATGATGACATACAGCAGTGATTACGATGCGCAACCTTTCTCAGCAACAGTTAGTTTCAAAGAAAGAGTACCACCTCTCCACTAACCAAGCACCTCTCCTTGGTGACAAAAAACAAAAGTCCTCCGGAAAGCAAGCCCACTCAGTTACACCGTTCCTCCACAAAAGCCACTTGCACACCTCATGCCATCCGTACATCCCCAGCTGGGGGTAAAAAAGGCACCACAACAACGCACCCCCAACCCTCCTCTTCCATGACTACACCCTCTTCTTGCTCAGCTGCCACACACACACATTAGTCTCATGATACCAATCACACAGTGGCTCCATGCACTGCAGTGGCTCCATGCACTGCTGACACAGCCCATCAGGCACCCAACGCCTCCTCCTCACCTCCACCCAATCCCCCTGCACCCCCTGCACCCCCTGCACCCCCTGCCCCCCTGCCCCTTCTCCCATGCCTACGCCCTCCTCTTTCTCAGCAGCAACGCGTTCGGCTCATGGTATGGGTCATACAGCGGCTTAATGAATTGCTTATACAGCTCATCACGGACCTCCTCTCCTCACCCCCCACCCTCCCAACCTTCCCCCCCTTTACGACCGCCTCTTGCTCAGCCGCCATGCGTTGGGCTCATGGTACCGGTCATACAGCAGCTCGATCCGCTCCTGAGAGGATTCACAAAGCAACTCAACACCTCCTCACCCTCATCTGCCCCACCCTCACCCCCCCCTTCCGCTTTACGCCCTTCTCTTGCTCAGCCGCCATGCGTTCGGCTCGTGATAACGATCATACAGCGGCTCGATGCGCTCCTGCCGCTTCCTCTTGCTCAGCTTCGTGGGATCCGCCTGTCGGAAGAACCGCGGCGCCAGCTCCACCAGCCATCTTGGATCAATCAGCGTGCACTCCCTCATGTACTCTTTAGTCGTCATCACCAGCTCGTGGTATAAAACCCAGTCGGGTTGGCGCTGGAAGAGCGCTGAGGAGGGGTGGATGTAGACGGGCTGGTTCTCCACGATGCTGCGGTAGCCCTCTTGAGGATCCTTGCGGGCCGCATGGAAGAAGAAGCCTGAGCAGAGGGCTTTGCGGATCTTGATGAAGTTTCTGCCTGCTGATACCACGTCCAGCTTGTACCTGGGTGGGGGATGGAGAGATGAGGGGCATGCAGGGGCGAGGGAATGAGGAAACGGACAAAAGGAGACACAAAGAAGGGAGTCTCTGGTGAGAGAGCGGAGGAGGGGTGGATTTAGACGGGCTGGTTCTCCACGATGCTCCGGTAGCCCTCTTGTGGGACCTGGCGTGCTGCATGGAAGAAGAAGCCTGAACACATGGCTTTCTGGATTTCAATCAATTTGGGACCGGCCGAGACAACGTCCAGCTTGTACCTGCATGCGTGTGCGGAACGGGGAGGAGAGGGGAAGGGAGGAGAGGAGGGGCGAGAGGGGGGGCGGGGGGCGGGACGAGGAGGTTGACCCCCCACAATCTAGGTCACAATCACCACCCCTTCTATCCCAACCCCCATCCCCCCCTTTCCCCCATTCAAACCCACCGGTCCATGATGGTGAGAAGCTGTTTCCTTACATCCTGCGCGCGCCTCAACGACCGGCTCTGCACAAAGTTCTCGTAGCACCACGGCCCGGAGAAGTTCTTGGCCTTCCACGCCTCGTACACCGCCAGCAGCGTCAGGTGGTCCCCCTCGGGCTGAAAGAACTTGGCCTTCTTCTGATGCCTGTGACTCGACTCACAACCCGCCCACCTGATCCCCACTACCCACCCACCCCGTTTCTTCCCCCCTCAACTCACCGGTCCATGATCGTGAGGAGTTGCTTCCTCACGTCCTGCGCGCGCCGCAGCGACCGGCTCTGCACAAAGTTCTCATAGCACCACGGCCCTGAAAAGTTCTTGGCCTTCCACGCCTCGTACACAGCCAGCAGCGTCAGGTGGTCCCCCTCGGGCTGGAAAAACTTGGCCTTCTTCTGATCCGCCTGCGCCTGCTTCTCGCGCGGCCGGTAAAAGATATTCTGCGCCTGCAGCATCGCGATGATCGTCAGAATCTCCTCGGAGCAACCCAGATCCACGCTCGCGATCAGCGTCTTCGACAGCGGCGGCTCGAGCGGAAACTCGGCCATTTTCCGCCCGAGCTTCGTCAGCAGCCCCTCCTCATCCAGCGCTCCGAGATTGTACAGCTGCTCCATGGCGGAGATTAAAGCCTGGGGTGGTGGCGGGTCCATGAAGTCAAACGCCAGCAGGTCATTGATGCCCATGGCTTTAAGAGTTAGGGTTGTCATGCCCAGGTTGGTGCGCTGGATTTCGGGCACTGTGGTGGGCAGCATTTCGTTGCGGTACGCGCTTTCCGTGTACAGCCGGTAGCACTTCCCCGGACCTGTGCGTCCGGCTCGGCCGGCCCTCTGCCGCGCCGAGGCTTGGGAGATGGGTGTGATGACGAGGGAATCGAGACCCAGCTTCGGGTTGTAGACTTTTTGCTTGGCAAAGCCCGGATCAACCACGTAGTAGATCCCATCAATGGTCAGGGATGCTTCTGCGATGTTAGTGGCCACGACGACTTTTCGGGTGCCCGGTGGGGCAGGGTCGAAGATTCTCGTCTGCATTTCG